GTTTCCTGAGCACTTCGTGAAATACTGGATTTAATGACAAAGATTTAATTATCTTTTTTAAAAATATAATCATATTAGGAGGGTGTTGTTCTGTAGTCTTACTGACTTTTCCAAATGCGAGATAACTGTTCAGTTTCCAATCTTAGTACATTGACCTCGAAAATAACTAGAAATTTGAAAATGACTGCAATTCCATGAATACCTTATTAACTGTAGTGTAAAACCTTTGCGCATATATGTGTGCACCTAAGCCTTTTTGTTTCTAATACCTCGAAATTCACTGCAGAAGAATTGACTTAGTTCTAGAATCTGATGAAATTATGCAAGTGTCATCGTTGTTTCTCAAATAACAGTGAATTTTAGAAATTTTACTTAACTCTCGCTTGTTTCAACTTTGACAATCTTGAAATCGGAATACTTGCTCTAGTTTTGTTAGCTCTCACTGTATCGGTTTAACTGTAGCATTTAGTTTCAGGGCCTAAGAGAGACAGAAATCTAGTTTTGGTGGTTACTGTCTCTGCTGAAACAGAAAACAGAAAAGTAAATTATATTTTATTTTACTTATTTTTTTTGGGTAATCTTAACAGATTAAATACACCGAAAGAAATAGGAGTGCTGCTTTTATTTGATGAGGGCATCAGTTAGAATTATGATGTGAATAGTAAGGAAAAAGTTGAGAGAAGTGTGTGTGTTGGAGGGTAGGGATGTTTGGTGGTAAAGGTGATTGATGGAGAAAGGAAAGCGAGCAATGATTGAAAAGTAACAAGTGGAAAGTAGTAGTGAATCGAGATGAGCAGAAGAAAGCTATGTTCAGCATCTCATTGACCTAGGAGCTTGGGTTTGAACACATTCCATATGTATGGAATGTTTTATTATCTGAGAACATATGTAACTTCTGTTTAATTAAAAAGGTTGGATTGGTTTTTGTTGGGGTTTTTTTGGTTGGTGTGTTTTGGTTTTTTTTGTTAAATGGGTAATCTGGGTAAAACTTGTTTGGAGAGATGACATGACTGAGCTGTCAGCTGAAGAGATGTTTGAATAACAATATGTTAGCAGTATTCAATAAATGAAGTGGATGTATTACTTCATGTAGGATTTAAAATAATATTTGTCTTTTCATCAGTTTTTATAATTGCAAACTTTTCTCTTTGCTGTGAACAAATACCATGATTTGGGATGGGCAGCTATTCTGTGTCACCTAATTTAGTGTGTGTAGGTGAAGTGGTACAGTACCTGCTTTGAGTTCTTCTGTCCTTCTTCCACTGTATAATTTTTAGAGAATTGTCACTCCTAGGGAACAAAACAGAGTTAATTTAAAAATAAACTAATAAATAAAATACTCCCGTATGGTTGACATCAAATTTGTATTTGTCTTCCCATCTTCCCAACCAGATTCAAGTTTCTTTAATGAAACTGCAGAGTACGTACTGATTGGGAACCCGTTGAAATTGTCACTAGGAGCTGGTCTGCTTGACTCTTCAACAGTCTTTTAATTTAGCTTATTCTGTTTGAGTTGCCGTTTCAGTGATGATTACCTTCTTCCATCTTCCATTTTGCAGTTTCAGAATGGCAAACAAACTGCGGGGTAATAAAATAGTGATGTTTCTGTCTTTCTTGCATGCTAGTACCCCATCTAAAATGTTGTAGGTATTTACTTGTTTGGTTGGCATGAACTGTTCTGCTTTGCAAGGTCCCTTTGGGACAGTTCTTAGATGTTATCTGCAGGGTATGTGCACAGGAAGGACAGCAGTGCCTTGGGGCACAAATATACAAATAATACTATGATCCTGGGTAGTTGTTGTTTTAACAGTCACAGACAGCAGGGTTCAGTAATTTAAGTATCTTCCTATTGCCAATATGTTTTAAAAAGAAAGTCTATCCAGCATATATGAAGAAAAGCTAATTCCAGCAATCAACGTGAATATCTACACAGAAAATCCCCTGAGTCTCATTTATGAATACCTACCCCATACAATCTTGTGTGGTTGTACTTCAAATGTCACCCAATTACGATGAATGAAATTCTGTCTCGTTATTGTCATTATTATTTCAACCAAGAGAAGCAAAACTTGATGGTAGGGTGGGATCCTCAGGAGTTACCAGCTCTGTCCAAACTGTGTTTGGGTCGAAATCACTGAGTTTCACTGTTGATTTTAGTGGGAGTCAGGTTAGGTCGCTGCACGGTACTTTTGAAATCCCACCTCTAACTATTTCTGAGTTGAGTGTGTAATTATTTCCTCACAGGGAGGAGTCCATCACCGCAGCCTTCCAAAAACACCATACAAGTGACTTGCATAGGTCAAAATACCAAATTCCAGTGACTTTAACCATCTCCTGTCTGAGAAGCTGTATTAATCAGGCTGATAGGCCGATGCTGAGCATTTGTGAGCACAGGAGTGACAAGGGTGCTGTGGGCTTCACTGGAAGCTGTAGGTGCTGAGGACCTCCAGGATCGGGCTCTGGATGAGCCATTCAGTACCATGTGCGGTCTCTCATAGGCTAGTTTCATGCTTGCTTGCGGTAGTGGGACCTAGCCAGCCGTGACAAAAAAAGAACATTGTGGGTCTTAAACTTGTGCTGGTGCTACTTCTGCTTTTAAAGTGAACATGATCTGAAAGCCCCTCTGCACTCAGCCTGTGAAAAACACTCGGCGTGTGCCGTACCTTCTGAAATCTGTGGAACAGCCGGCCTGGGTGCATGCTGGAGGAGCGAACCTTCTGGCATATAGTGCACTCTGGAGTTAACCCGTTTCCTACCTTCAGTTTTCTTCCTGGTTTTTCCCTTGCTTGTGCAGAGTTGTTTAGAGATGTGGGGGAGAGAACAGCGTGTAAATTTACTTTCAGGTCACAGGCCCTCGTTCTACTGGAGTGACTCACTTGAAGTGATACTAGTGTCCGAGATAAACCTCTCAGATGCGTCATACAAGATGCTTATTATCGTAATTAATCTGTCACAATATAATTATCCTCGGCTCAGCACCCTATCTATCTATCTATCTATCTATATATATATATATTACTGCTACATGGTGTTTGTAAATGAATGTATCTGTGCAGGCTGCTGTGGATCAGCTTATGGCTGTGAAGCCATCCTCGTTTCCCACAGCAGGCATCCCTTCTCCTGATACGAGGCAGGAGCAGGCATCCCTTCTCCTGATACGAGGCAGGAGGGACTGTTGCTTGTTGATGCCATTGCCTCGGGCAGCAAACTGCTTTGGTTTGCAAACTGACTTCATTCTTATTCTCTCTCCCCCCAGCTGCATTTTGCCACGCAGCTCTCACGCAAAATGCCACATGCTGTCGCTGGCTTGGTGTTGTCCTGATGTTCTCCCTCGTCAGGCACTGCCACATCTCCGTCTCCACGCTTAGCGCTGTCTGCAGAGCCTTCCCCGCTCCGACTCTGCCTTCCCCAAACCAGAAGGCCGTAGACAGAAGCAACTCTCTTGCGGTTGTGGCACACTTGGGGATGGTCTGTCAGAGCGAGGAAGTCTGGTAAAGCATGGTGAGGACAGGGCAGGCTTTCAGATCTGCGTGACTGTGTAGAAGACGCTGGCTGAAGGGGTTCTGCTGGGTTGAGAAAATGGCTGGTGCCATGTGTAAGTGGTGATGAAGAGATGGTGGTGAGGTATCACCACAACCCTTCTGACGTGGTGGTGAAGTTCATGCATCTGGCAGCGGATTAGCATGATGGTGCATGGTGGTGCCAGGGGTCAGGACCTCTTATAAGAGGGATTGCTCTTTGGTGTGAGATGGCAAGTGAAGTAACAAAGTGTGTGTAGGGTTTCTGAGCCAGCAAAGCAAAGGTGGTGTTGGAGAAGATGCTACCTCAGGTCACCATCAAAGTTGAGCAATGAAAATTCTACCCCCCACCCCAGCTGGCAGATAAAATGCCCGGTAGATGCATATTGTGTTCCACCTTGTTGGCAAAGGATCTCTTCTAGATAAACGCGTGACTTTCCATGTGTGGTGTTGAACACGCAGGATTATTACATGGGTTTGCGTTGTTACAGAAAAATAAACTAAGGTGCGTTTTATGGTGGACCTTTTGCTGTGAATCCTTATCTTTACAAGTACATCTGAAAAATTCACAACTCTGCATCTGAGAGAAGTCAAAAGACTTGCAGTGAATGATTTAGTTTTTGTGTGTCTGCACTGCAACCTATATTCTTGGAAGTCCTATTTGAGAAGATAGCTAAACAGGCTTTCAGAAGTGTTCTTTTTCTTAACAGTCATAGGAGCAAAACAAGCTTTGAAAATAAAATGACAGTTAAAATGAGCGTTGACAATGCAAAGCAGTAGCATATGATTATAGTGTTGTTTTAAATATACCCAGTAACATTTTTAATGCATCAGAAATGGTTATCTAACTTCCCTAATTGATCTTGTAACTTACAATGATAGCTGACTAAGAAAGTGAGGCTAACTTTGTGGAAGAAAAGTACAAGTTTTACAGTTGACCTTCTTGAAGTGTGTGTTGTTCCCCCCCCCCCTTAAAAAAAAAACCACAACGACCCCAAAACCTGTATCACAAACATGTTTCTTCTCTGAAATGCATTTTGATTTGTCAACTAGGTAAAGAAAAATGATTGCATGGGATCAAAAGAAATTGCTTATCACAATTTTAGGCTGTAGCATCTGTTCAGAGAAAGGGAAGGGCAGGAGAAGATGCATCTTAGTTTTACTAGAAATGTAAGAAGAATGAGATTTTGAAAAAGAGGTTTACACCTTTTTAGTAAAGATGCTTCTATTTTAAAAAGCTTGCTATTGGGCCTTGGGATAAGCATGACTAAGCTATGTGCTGGTGTCTTAGCAACAAAGCAGATGTGAAAACGATGTTTTAAAATCTGGCTCCGTAGAGATGATCTCTGCTTGTCTGAATAGCGGTGTGCCTTCCTCAAAGTCAATAAAACTGCATCAGTCTAAAGCAGGATTTGTGTGGTGGTAGATGAATGTATTTAACTTGGGTATTTTCTTCTCATCCCTTTTTCCTTCTTTACACAGGGAGTGAAGTATCTGTGCATTCCAGCCGCTGACTCGCCCTCGCAGAACTTGTAAGTTTTCTTTAAAAATAAATCACAAAACCCCAGAAATCCCTCAGCACAGTGATGCCTGTTTTACAATAAGCTAAAAGATCTGATTCTGATCTCTCACAAGTATTATGCAATGTGGGTTTTTTTTAATCCATTAAGAAAACACAGTAACACTTTATTCCAGTCACCTTGGTTCAGACCCCGCTTTTTGCCTGTAAGGGTTTGTGGGAAGGTTGGTATGTAAACACTCTTCGTTTGTGGCCTTAAACTTCAGGAATTCCTTAGTGAGTCTGCTCCTAATTTAGTCCCAGTTTATTCTAGCCATTGTTTTTGTAAATCTTTTTGCTTGGCTGTTCTTTTTTGTTAGTGCTATCTCCAGCCATTAACAAAAAGAAAATATTTGAAAAAGGTACAAAGCCTGGTGCTTCAAGGGTTGAAATAAATTCCTCGCAGTGGGACCTTCAAGATGAAGTCCCAGTGTGCAAACTACCATTGCAACTATCTACTCTGGACTTCGTGAACCTGCCTCAGAAGGCCCCAGTGCTCTTAGCAGTAGGCTGGCACGGCAGGGGAGTTTCTGCCCCGTGGTGACTCTTGCCTTGAGGATACATGTACTGAAACTAGGGTGTCCCAACCTCGCTCTTTCTCATCTCCGCTAACGTTGATGAAACGTTAATTGACTTGCCCTTGGTTTTAATGTTTTGAACCATTGAGCATAGCGAGTCTTGATTCCAAAGAGAAATCAAAACAGGTTTTGTAAGAGGACTTGGATGGTGACCAACTCTTTCTTCTAGAGCTCACTGTTTATGTTGGGGAGAGGTGAGGGGGGTTTCAGCCACATCCTGCTACTAACTTTTGTAGAGAAACAAGTATTTGAAAGAGGCCTGGCAGGTACGGAAGGAAATGCAGCACTGCTTTTCTCTCACATCACAGCAATATTCTGGCTCATGCTTTCGGGGGATATTTTTAGAGTGTGTATTTCTCATACCCTAGAAAGATTCCAGCGTGGCATTTGATGTGTGGTGATTTGCCTTTTCATTCTGTGTTTCTGTTGTGATTTTAGGGGAAGGAGAAAAAAAAAACCAAACAAACAACAAAACCCAACACACATACCCCCCAGCCCACAACAAAAAACACCCCAAAACCCTAAATTTCAAGAGAGGTCTGTAATGAGAAGGCAGACAACTGCCTTTGTCAGGGACAACTTTTGTGGCCTTAATACTTAAAATAAATAAATGTCCAAAAAATCCTTTTGGGAAGGAGAAAAAAAGAAAGATATTAGAGGGAAACATTCACATGTCATATGAATTGTTTGTTGCTATTCTCAGATCTGTAGCATTTCTGAAAATGATTTGCAAATCTGCTTCCTTTGTTAGTAGAGATCTGGATCAATTGGGAATGGAAATAGGATGACATTTGTGATGAGCATTAATCAGTGTACAAATCAGCCCCTCCCTCACTGTTAAATATCAGGGAGTTATAGTGAAAAACCACCTCTGGCGCTGAGCTGTCTGGCGCAGTACCAAAGCTCTTAGAGCTTCGGTAAGAAGATACAATATTTGCATGAGTATTGTTTCTGTTATGCTGCAGGCATCTAAAATACTTGCCTTGGTATCAGGTGGTTGCAAGCAAACGTCATTACTTCTAATACTGATACATTTTATCACTTAAAATAAAACTTGATGAGTAACCGATTTTTCTTTTTTGCTTTATACAGTCCAGATTGTCAAGTAAAATCAAATCATGATGCTCACAAATAGCAATGTTGCTTGCTTTGCACGTACAATCTTCTGAACGCAAGAGGAAGCCGTCTTTGTTCAGTCTGCGAGGATCTGACCCAGTCTCACCTAGGAGCAGCTAACCGTGCTGCCTGTGCCCTCTGCGCAGGGAGGGATAGCTGGGGAACAGCAAAGGGAGTTGATCCCACTGCAACATCCTTCTGACATCTACCCTCTTCTTTCAAAAGAGGGATTCTGGGGATGTCAGGAAAAAAAAAAAGAAAGCAGCATCCTGTATTGCAGGTCCTTGTGTTTTCTTAGCAGTGGTTGACAGGCACAAGTGACCAGATACACGCTGCTGTCTTGTGTGTCTCCCGACAGAAAGTTTGTCAGAAGCTTTGCTGCTGCTACTTTGCAACTGCTGGCAGGTCGATAAGGTCCAACTGAAAGCCTTTATCCACTGAATTTTGGGACTATGAGCTCTTAATTCACTTCAGCTCAGTTTTTATGAGGGAAACTTCTGGTTTCTTCCGTGTGTAATGCACATTTACTCCTAGTAAGCTTGTTTAGTGGAGCTCCCTTCCTCAGAGGAATGAATTGCCAGGGAAATACAGCAGGGATTCCCCTGTTAACATGTGAGTGTTCCCTAAAGTGCCTCAAAAGCTTGCTTCTGCTCCCATGTTCTGCCTCTACCAAGCACAGGAATCAAGCAGTTGCTTTTGAGACTCTTTGTGCTTCCTAGGTGTTAACTGAGTGTTTTCCCTAGACTGTGAGAATTTTATTTTGGGCCATTGACTTCTCCAGAAATGTAATCTCCTATAGAACTTGTTGCTAAGAAGTTAATTCTATAGAAATCAAATCTTCCCTTCCTGTCCTGGTTCCAGCTAACTGTCTTAGGCTACGTGTTTCTAAGGAACTAACCTCCAACGGTCAGGCTGTTAGTGGTGATAATACAGTAGCCAGATAACCTATTAAGAAAAGAAATTTAGGTGGATCTTTGTTGCATTTGCATTGCTGAAGGAAAAAAACCTCAAGATGCTTCTTTCTATCTGATTTGGATGCTTTCTTTTTTAACCTTTATAATATTCGTAGAAGTCTGACTGGCAACGAATAAATATGTAGATCTGGTATCGTAACTCTGCCTTCAGCCTAGTTCTGGATTACCCAGCTTGCTAATTCATAAGTTTAGATAACATTTACAACATGCTGGTAGGGGCAGCGTACTGGTGGTTCTTCCTGTGGTGTTTTCCCACTGTGAAGATGGTGCAGTTCAGGACCCAGCTTTAAGCTGGGAGATGTAGAAGCCAGATACCATATAATAAATTGTCTTGTAGTAACTGCTCAGTCCAACAAATAGGCTGCAAATCAACACGTTTGTCAAGTGCTTTCCTGTTACAGATGATAATCAACTGTTTTGCGGTTAATGTAAGACTTGCCATTCTTCTTTGTGTCTGGCACTTGCCACACAGCTAACTGGTCCTCAGTCATGGTTTTCATGTACATATGGTTTGTACCGTACCTTTGAAAATTAGTTTAGGCAACTGCATGTGCTGGAGACAGCAGAGACCCCAATACCATGGGGTTGTGGAGGAGTACATTTCTCCTTTTCTCTGACTCAAGGTGAGGATGGGGCATGCTTCTACAGAGCAGCACTAATTCTAAGCTTGGCTATTTTTCTTCTCATTTTCGTGAATGTCTGTAAACACTTACACCTGACAGTGTTTCATCAGACAGAATATCAGCAATAAGGAAGAGTGAATAAAACTGAGTGAATGGAGTTCACTGTTAGCTATATTTAGTACCTTGCAAAGGTGTTATGCTCATTCGCAGATATTTTTCAAACCAAAGCACTGAAGTGTTTAACCAAAACTTACGCTAGACCATTGAAGTGAATTCACTGGTGCTTGGAGCTGCGTTGTTGGCCAGATTTTCTAGAGAGAAAGAGAAAAGATGGGTGTATGAGAATATTGGGATGTTGTCAATCCAACCCTAACCAAGTTTCATCTGACTGAATCTGTTCAGTCTCGGATAAATGCTCCTTCATTGTGCAATAGCAATGCTTCTTGTGGACACAGCCCAACATCTCATTTGTCCTCTGAGTTCATTTATGTGAAGCTCCTCATGTCCCCCAGGCAGACCTGAGCACCATGATTTGTTAGAACTCAGCCAGTGAAAATGTTTTGGAGTGGCAATCTGAGTAGAAATGCATTTGTAAGGCTTCATCCATCTTCTTCATTTATCCCACATACTTGATTGGTTTCTTGAGAAACATAAAATCCTGTGTTGACACGCTATCCTAAAACTTGGGATTGCATTGTGCCTTGAGGTTTTCCAAATAAGTCACTCAAGTCTTCTCCAGCTGTGTTCTCCATGTTGTATTCACTGACTTGGAGAGGGAGTCCTGGGCTTTAGGATCCCTCTTTTTGGATATTTCAATTTAGGCACCCTTGCCTTTGGAAGTTCCACAGGCACTGTCACTCTATTGCATCAGTGTTGTCCTCCTCCAGGTCTTGAGTGTTTATAGTAGCAGCAGCTGCACTGTTGGGCAGGAAGGGAAGCTTCCTTTTATGTGGGTATTCCTGATTTTTGTGTGGCCGCTGGTGCTGGGCTGAGGTTTTTTCTCTTTTACCCTTGTGGTATAATACTCACCCCGAGAGGGGAAACATCTTGAATACAGGACATTGTGTTTCATGGGTGTTGAGTGCAGCGTGCTCTCAGGTTTGTCTCTGCCAATAAGCCTGGTACTGACTGCTCCTTAAGAAGCTCTTTCCTCTGTCTGCATTGCACACGTGGCTACTGCTTGAGAGCTTAAATTTCAAGAGCACTCAAAGGCCACAGCAAACTCCATCTCTATTGAACTAAGAGGTGCTGCTCGCACCTGCGATAAATGGCAGGCAGCCCCAAAGGCTTTGCAGTCTGAAAGGCAGAGGCAGGGTCAGCAACTTGGGACTGGGGTGCAAAGAGGTGACGCTGCAGATTTACTGAGATAATGACAGCTGCCCAGTTACTTTCCTTCAGACTTGCCCCACTTAAAATGAAAAGGCATGCTTAAAGGATAACGAGAGTACAAACCTTCAGGTTTGTAAACTGAGTCTTTATCTTCTCCGCATTTTCTCCTCCACTGCTCTAAAAAAAATGTAGGCTGTAGGCAGGGGTTGGGTGAGATGCCCTGAATAAGGGCAGGCAGAAGGGGAGGAGACCCAAAGGAGCTAAAGAAGCCAGGGCTTGAATTGAAAATTTTTTCGTAGCAGGGACAAAAGGGAGAGATTTCATCTTGCAAAGAAGAAGGTTGTAACATTTAGATGTGTCCTAGTCCATGGTTTAAAGGAGGAGGTGAAGCCAAAGTTAAGTGTAAGTTTGGGTAGCGGGTAGTGGGTGCCTCTTTGTGAGAGACAACACACCTTGAGAACTGTTCATGTAGTTGTGCTGAGCTTTGTCTGACATCCGAGCATACGCAAGGACGTGCGAGGTCAAGTTACTGGTTCAAAGGGGAATAAAACACAAACTGAAATACAGACTTGACAGTCATCAGAATAAAGTGTTTGTTAATGTTTATCGCACCGTAAGGCCCAAGATAACCAGGTAGAGTGGAGAATAACTGTGCCAGTGAGTTTTGTGTTTCATTAGCAGACGCTAACTTTTACCTTGTAAGACCTGTATTCAGTTCTAAATTCTAGAAACAGCATTAAATGAGCTTTCGGATCAATTTCTCTCTTTCTAAGTAGTGATTTTACTAAATAGAGCACTTTCTTTATTCCCCTCCTGCTTCTGTTTTCAGGGCAAGGCATTTCAGAGAGAGCATCAAATTTATCCATGAGTGCCGGCTTACAGGTGAAGGCTGCCTAGTTCATTGGTATGTATGCCACTTGCTAAAAAAACTGTCTCTACCATAATTTGGATGTTCATAATTTTAATGATAAGTTAGTGTTCATCTCCGTTTCATAGCAAAATCCTCTTGGACTGAAATGCCCCCTTTATTTGAAGAGCCCCAGAAGATTTGCAATCTATTAAAACCTCATGGCTAGGACTTTTGAGTCACTGGGGTGGGCAACTACCTGGAGATAAAAGGAGCCCAAGAAATTCTTCTTGACCTTCTCTTCTTATCAGACATTTTTGTAGGACTGATTTAACTACAGATGCATTGACTAGAGATGTATTATTTATTTCCCATTATTTTAATCACTGTATTTCTAAATGTGATTTCCATAATCCTAATAATTTGTTTAGTTTCTGTAACAGCTATTTTGGTGACTTCACGGTTTTTTAAAAAAAATTTCCTCTGAACAGAAATTGATTTCCCCCCCCCCCCCTTTTTTTTTTCTTTGAACTGCCGAAGCATTCAAATGTTGCATTTCTTAATAGCAAGTCTCTGATTGGAGAGATGCTCCTGGGACTGTAGAGACTAGAAAAGGAAATCCCACCCTGGGTTTTTTCTTGCTCTCTGCTATTGGTCATAGTCTTTGTGCTATGTGTCCAAGTGACATATCTGAGTCTATATCTGGAATCAGAGTCATCTCATGATTTGAACACTGGACTTGAACACAGGCCCTGAGCATAAATCCTCAGTTTGCTACTGACTCATGGTAGAGTTGTGCACAAGTCATTTGGTCCGTCTCCATGTACATAAACCAGGGATAATTAGTCTGAATTCCGACAGAGTTTTAAAAAAAACTATATTTAAATTTGTGAAGCATTTCAAAAGCCTAAAATGTTCTCAAAATACCAAGTGAAAGAGTCTGGTGCAAATGTAACTCAAACACATTTTTTTTTATACTCACAATAGTAATAATTGGGAGTTTTTTGTCCAGTGCTGTCAAACCAGTAATAGTGAACGATTCTTACTTTATCTCAGCATTTCATGTGGGGAAACTGGAGTCCCGAGAATTGAAGTTGGGCAGTGCATGGATAGCAGAAAGAGGAAAAGAACTCAAGCAACCAGACATATGTACTTCAACACTTCAGTTAAAGTTCATTTTGGCCCTGTGAAATTGAAGCTTTTATTCGTGATGGAGAAGGAATGGTCTTATTTCACTGCTCTGATCCATATAAGCAGAAGAAAGCGGGTGACTTATTTCTAGCTTATTAAAAACCAAATCTAACTTAGAATGTGTGTGCTGCTTTTGTGAAGACTTAATACTTCTTCCATTCCAATCTTATAGGAACTGCCACTCGATCTTGTCATAGATTTGTTCTGATACATTTGAAAAAGCAGCACCAAAACCCTTTAACTCAAATATTGTAATATTTTTAAACTTGTGGCAGGCAACACAGCAGTCTGCTGTGATGTTGGGAAATGATGCTTTTAACTGTGATAGATGAGGTACAGCACTACTTCAGTTTATTGCACCTCCTTTTTCATGCAGCCTTGCAGGTGTCTCCAGGAGTGTAACATTGGTGGTTGCCTACATCATGACCATCACAGACTTTGGTTGGGAAGACGCCCTGTCTGTTGTCCGCGCAGCGAGATCCTGTGCCAATCCTAACATGGGCTTCCAGAGGCAGCTACAGGAATTTGAAAAACATGACGTTGATCAGGTAAATGAAATACAAACAAATGAGCTGTGAAACACAACTCCAAGTCAGATCATGGGCTGCTTCTCATTGTTTTGTGGCCTGGGTGGTTTATCTGACTCCCTGTCTTTGCTTCGAGGGAGTGACTTCTTGACCAAGCCTGCTCCACTGGGGAGGTGCAGATAGAACTGAAGGTATCAGGGAATGCTGGATGGGAGAAGAGAAGAAGCACTACATCTAAACACCTCCTGCTCAGCTGTGCTCTCAATCCACTGACTGCTTCATGTGTGCTAAGACACAGTACAAGACTGACACCTTTAGAGGGGTAAAAACTAAAGAGTGAGTTGCTCAGAACACAGTAGAAAGACCAACCTATAAGTACCAGTTGCATAAAAATAGTGGATTTTGCCCCAACACAGTCATTTGGAATAGTAAGCAGGAAAGAAATTATAATCAGAAGTCTTTGCTATCTAGGAGTTAAACTAGGTTCTCATTATGACTTACGTGTAGTGTTCCCCCCACTTTCTGGGGCTGAGACTTAATAAATTTTCTGATGTGTAGAACAGTCTCAAATCCAACCCTTTTTTCTTCTTAGCTTTTGAAGGTTTTGTAGGATTAGAAGAATTGAGGGAATAGTAAGACTGCAAAGTGGTTTTCATAAAACAAAAATCAGTTTCTTACCCCTAAAAAGAACCATCCTACGCAAAAGACCTGCTCTCTGTGGGTGATCGGTGACTTCCACTTATGTTAACAACCTACGCTGGCCGTCCCCTCTGTTTTCCATTGCTCAGCATGTTGCTGTTCTCTGGGCTTTTGTGCCTATTGTGCTTATTAAAAGTCAACAACAACAACAGAGGCAAACCAAAATCGGAAAGCAAAATACACGATGCAAAGCATATTTTTTGTTTGTGGGTTTTTTTTTTAATTCCATTCCTGTCATTCTGCTGTAGAAAGCTCAGAGTTTAGAAATTACCATTTGTTTTGCATGATGCAGTTTGCAACTGTAAATATTTGCGTTTTTTTAATATTTAACTGAATGTTTCCTGGATCGTTTGGAACTGGTGTAAATGATAGAGTAACCGATTTTTAAGAGGCAAAAGTCAGAGGGGGACTTTCCAGACTTGTCTCCTTCCTCCCTTACAGTCATTTCTACTCTAATTGGTCTGGGCTAACAGCAATGACAATTAAGGGTATATGCAAATAGCCTGATAAAGACAGTAACGTCTCTCTTTTTTCATCCACCATGGACGGCACAATCTGCCTTTTTTTCACTGAGGGGGAGGTAGTAGGTTGAAAAAGAAATATCCACCTGTAGTCACTGGCTGGGCTGTAGTTTCCTACTGTCTCTTAACAGCAACCACATCCTTAGCAGGTGTCTGTTTACACACCTGATTTCAGTGGAATAATGCCATCTGCTAAGGGCGTGAACTTTTTTCTGATTTCAGCAGCTTGGGTGTTTTGCTGTGCCACTATAGGGTGGTATCCTGTGGGGTTTCTGGAATGGGGTCCTTTAAGTCTTGGTCTGACAGGAAGGGGTTTAGTCACTAAGGCCACAACATGGTTTACACGATTTCCAAAGTTTCACGTGGTAGCCTGAGGCTTCAGGTTTGACTCGGACCTTACGATCGTTTAGGAATGGGAGGGAGTAGCTATGTTGAGGTCTTGTCTCTCAGTGTCCTAGTAAATGATCTTTATGGATAAAGCTGTCCATGAGCCCCAAACAGAACAGAGCCGTGAAAGTTAAAGCTTGAAAAATGAGTATTATCCCCAGTGGGACAGAACAGTTGGGGTCTGTGTCTACTTGCTGTTTCTGCAAAGAAGAGCAACAAGATTGTCAGGAATGACTAAGTGGGCTCAAATTCTTCCACTGGCAAGGAAATGACAGAGAAGGATGTGATAAAGGTCTATAAAGTTGAGTGGAATAGAAAACACAAAGAGGTGTGATTTCCATTCTTCCCTGTAATGTGAGGTGGAGCTATCAATTGGCAGGTGCCAATCAAGGAAGAGGAGGGTTTTTTTAGACAATATGTACTTATGGAGCTTGTTGGCATCCCGTTATCTTGTGGTAAAAATTTGTGGATTCAAAAAGTGATCTTATGGCAGAAAAATTCATTTGTTGCTATGAAACACAAAGGTACTGCCTCAGCCTCCGAAATTACCTGAGCTGAGAATTGCCTGAAGCTGAGGAAGTGACCAGGGAAAAGGTCTCAGCATTATTGCCCTGCTATTGCCCGAGTCTTTCCTCAGCATTTATATCTGGCTAATGTGATGCTGGGATACAGAGCTAGACTGACCTTCAACTGGACCTGGTACATCTGTTACCATGTACCATACCCAGTCATTCATGTCAGTAACATATAAGGCCCTATTCTATAGCTTTTAAAACTCCTGGACTTTTTCTTCCTAGAAGATACCTTTCCTGATATCTACAGTACATTTTTTACTGCTGGTGTTTGGGGGCTCAAGATAAAAAAACCCCTATGAGTGGTTCACTTTCTGATCTTCAGCCTCCTTGCAGCCTGTTGTGACTTGGGCAAGTTGCCTGATGGTATTAGCTTCCATGCTAATTCATCTTACTGTTTGTATATGCAACAGGAGGAGGGTGCTTTTAAGTCCAGGATGTCCTTGCCCAGTGGGTGTTCCTTATTCCCTATTACTCTGGTCAGCCAAGCTGTTATGCAAGTGTGTCATTTTAGGGGATGTAATGAATCTCAGTGATTTCAAATGTGTGTTCTTGTGCCTGTGTATTCTGTGCTGCTATTGAAGGATGTGCAATATTTGGAGCACTTTTCTTTAAACTTCTTGTGTTCTTAAAGGCTCTTGCAATTCTGTAGGGCAAGAGGGAGTATTACTTCTGCATCAGTCTCATGTTATTGTTTCATCATATTGTATATGTATGTTCAATTTCTGCAGTTCAGGCAGTGGCTGAAAGAAGAATATGGAGAAAACTCTTCTCAGGATCTTCAAGAAGCCAAAAATCTTCTGAGCAAATATAAAGAGCAGGCAGAGTTGCAGCAAAATACTGGAGGAAGACAGTGGAATAACAACTTCTCATCTGTGCCATCTCTCTCATACAGCAACTACACAACAGAGACCTAATTGTAGGAGGTTCATTTTTTTCTTTCTACTTTTGAAAAACATCTTGCCATAATTTCCATCCCATCTTCAAGACTCTCAGCAGTAATCATGCAGTTGATTTGTAGAAAGCTTCTTGATGAAAATACTACATTGTGTGTGTGTGTGAGTGTGTTTCACACAGTTTTATAATTTGGGCAGGATCAAGTGCTCTGTATGCCCAGAGACCTGATCCAGTTACTGTGGCTGAGCCAGTATGTCAGCGGCCACAGCTATTATCCCCTTATGCCCACGTTGCCTGGCATTTGCTGTGAGGTTAGCTCAACTCCTTTCGTTGTAGGCTAGCAAAGGGCTCTGAGAGATGAAGTCTGGTGATCCAAGCTGTGGCAGTTTGACATCTCTGCACTATTAATGTGGCAAAGATGTTATTGCACCTGAAGAAGGGAACTCAAGTGTGCGTCTCTGCTGCTCCTGTTCACAGTCCATTGGCAAGTACTACCGTGGAGGTGGGCTTGAACTTGAATGCTAGGCTGCAAACTGGAGCAGGTGAGATGTGAGTACATGTATCTTTCTACCAACAGTAGCATCTAGGAGAGAAGTGGGACAGACAGCTCTGAGTAATAACATCTTCAACTGCCACAGTTGTACTTGCTTCAGTGCACGTGAGACAGAGCAGTCGGTAGAACTGCCGCAGACCAAGGGCACAGAGACTGTTACCACAGCTCAGCTGATGTGCAGTGATTTTAAGCCGTGGTCCCTTGATTGTGCATCTGGTCTCCCAACATAAGCTTCTCTGGAGAATAGTTTTATCAGGTCTCCAGTGCCGCTGAACTCCATTCCCCGTGGAACACGTGCCTCTTCAACACACGCCCCTGCGCACATGATAACGTGTCTCCAAAGAGTGGGCTCGGTGTGAGTGCAAGCACCTGTTTCTTTGCTTGTGCTGTGGTTTGCTCTTTGACTTCAGCTACCTCAAAAATGCTGTTCGTGTCATTGTGGTTGTAAATGCAACCTTGAAAATTGCCTTGTGTAATCTTAAATCTGACACTGAGTGAAGTAAGTGGGTGCGTGTGTGTGTGAGAGCGTGCAGGTATATTTCACAAATGTCTGTATTTGAGAAGTTTATTGTTTTCTTTTAAAATTGCCCATATTTCTCACTGGTTTAACAATTGAGTTGTTTGAATTCAACTTTCTGCCATTTTAAAACCACTATATATTTTGCTGTGATCAGATTTGTAGGATGCATCTGTAAAATATATTTTAGACTAGGTTAAAACTAGGGGCCATACTCTGCTCTTGGTAACGTTGTGTGTTTCTGGAATGGAGCCATTGCCTGACTCAAGTGTATCCGAAGAGTGTAACTTCAAATATGTCGCCAGAGATGCTCAGCAGTGTATTGATTTCTGATGGTGTAATGGGGGGTGGCACTGATGCCAAGATCATGATTTCTTGTCTTTGACTTGGAGCATGAAAGGCCTATTTTTCTTGAAGATTCCAGAAAATAAAAAATGCCTCCCAAACAGCCAGGAAAGAAAAACAAAACCAAACCCTTCCATTTGTTTAAATGTGGTGTATGTCGTGCTAAAAGCTGAGCACTGAGCGAGAAGCAGTCAGCATACTTAAATAGGCTGTTGTCTTTTTCAATGCCTTTGGTACTCTGACCTCCCAGCCCTTCACAAGATTCCTCCTCGTGTGATTTCCTGCTGGCTTTGGGTGGCAGTGAATTTGTTGGATGGGAGCAAGGCTTTTGGGGTCAAGTAAGCTCTGGCTGTTAAGTATCTTCAAAAAACATATGTTATGGCTTGTGGAATACGGATCTTGCATATCAATAATTGCCAAAAAAGGAAAAAAGGGAATGGGGTGGAACTGGCCTGACTGTTTCATCTGACTCCAAGCCTGGATCAGGGTTCTCATTGCACCAAGTGCTTTAAGCGTACTGAACACAGCGAGGGCAGGGTAGTCACGTTGCAGTAAGGGATGCTGTTGGATTTGGGGAAGGTTGCTGGAATTGACTTTTTTTTTTTTCAAGCTTGTAGCCAAGTGAACCGCTACCTATTTGGTATATCCAGCAACTACTCTGTTTGCCTGGTAAGAGTAGTATTTAGCTCTTGTTGAAGATGTTGATATGCAAATAATTGGCTATTTAGGAATTCCAGCCCAGCAGCGCCCATGTTGGCAGTCCCCTCTGTGCTCTGAGGGCAGATGTGGTTAATTTGAAAACGCTTTCCTCGGTAACAGGGTCTGACACGTGTTCAGGATGCTGGTCCATTTGTTCAACCCTCTACTCCCAATAGGATATGTAGTGCATCTTCAGCCTCTCCCCAAAGGGCAGCTTGGACAGAAGCGTTCTGCCTGTGCTCTTGCAGGTATCCAGTCAGTCTCTGCCGGAGCTGACTGCCAGCAGGATGTATCACCTAACACCTTTGGCACTCTCCTCCTTGCAGTAGTAACCCTGTGAGTGCTGGTAAGTTGGCAAATGTTTTTTCTGTTCTGAGAAATGCAAGGCGGAATGGGAGACATCTGTTAATGTTCGTGTGTCCAACATTATTCTGTACTGGATTTTTTGTTTAATAGTTTGGTTATCCCTGTAGAATCAGCCCCACAAATAGGATTTATTTTTTTTTCCCTAGAACTGAATTTGGCTTTAGGGCCATATAGCCACATCAATGTGCATTATGCTGCAGCTCGAAAGCAGATACAGGGTAAAGCAGGAAGATGGAGGGAGTGCCATATAGTCAGAAAGTGTGAGTGCTTCTCTTTTTGAAAGGACAGAAGAGGTATTTTCAGTAGTCTCTTGCTTCTACATCTTGTTTAGCAGTCTGTATGTACTGCATGCTGCATTTAAAAGTGGTGGAAGAGCAACAGCAGTCTAAGAAAACTTGAATCTGGTTTGTCCATGGAGAGAGCAGAATGACCGTTTACTCCTTTGTTACCACAAGGTGCAGAAGAGAGAGTAGCTACAGTTCTCACCATTGGCCTTTTAGAAAGGGAGAGGAGCTAACACAGACTGAGAATGTGACATGATTTGTCTTCCAGCCAGCCTTTCGGTGGCAGTTTGTAGGACTTTCCAGCTATCTGGAACATGACTTGATCCCAGTCCACCTCTTAATAGTTCGCCTTTATAGTATAGACGATGCATTCAGTTATTTTGTTTCTGTACTTCAAAGCATTGTCCTCATTTTGATGTTCACTGGAAAATGTATAAAGTTTATAACACCTTATTGGATATCTAGATTTGAAATGTATAATCGATTTTTGGGGCTAAACTTGATATCCATGTGTGATTATAAGCAAATGTTTAGTGTTATACAATGTAGGTAATGGGTAAATGCATTAGTATTTATTACCCTGATTTTTAACCTGGAAAGAGTTGCTTCCTTACATTTTGTGGTTGAGCGGGAAGATATGGCAAATCATATCTGTTTTTTAAAAAGGACCGTAATAACATTGGTTGCTATAATGGCCACTTCCTATAAAGAAGTCAGCGAAAAATTATGGTAATTACTTCAGCTAGTTAAAAAACTCTAAACCTGTTAAGCTTCTTGATTCTCTGTCTTCCTCTTCTTGGGCATCTTCGTGAAGCCTTGATTGCTTTTTCCAAATGTTTGTATTTAATACGTTCTACAATTTTTTATAAATAAAAGTAAATGTTAACACCTGATCTGCTTGTGTATTTCATGAAATCAGTCATAGTGTCTGGAAGGCTTCTACTCACTGTATCTGTGCAGATACAGTAAGAGTACAAGACTAACCCATTTTGGTATTTAGATTACCTTGCACACAGACTTCATGAGACTTCCCCTCTCTTCACCACGTTCTTCCAGGTGAGTTCAAGAATCTGCAGCACAAGCATCTCTTGATAGTAGTCCCACAAGAGGATGTTGCACGTTGGTCTCTTACTTACTGTTGCTGACCCATCATTGCGATAGGGTATGTAGTGAATCCAAATTTTTTTATTCTTTTGAAATACCATCTTTTCCATAGCACACTGGTTTAGGGCTTAATTAGCTGTAAAACTTAGACGGTTTACAGACTGCCAAGACTCAAGGCTCTCAGTAGTGGTTTGTCAGAGGAAGCTGATGTAAGTGGCAGATGGTGATTCTCAGGGAAAAAAAAAAAAAATTAAAAACTTACAGTGTAAGGGGGGGAAAAGCCCCATTTAAATTCCACCAGATAACACACTGAATTTCTGGTTTGACACTACCTCTGCTAAGAGGGTAATTCTGGCATTCCAAAAAAAAAAACAAATCACCAACCCAAAACCAAAAACCCCACCAACCTGAAAGTATAATCAGTCATGCCTAAGTAGCCAGATCTCATGGCCACTTCAGTTGTTGCTGAAGGCTGAACCATTCTTGCAGTGGGACTCCCTTGTCATGAGGGCAAAGTTAGATGCTCAGTCAAGGTGGGTTTTGGGTCTTTGTGCCTTCTCCCTCTCCCAGCAGTTGTTAGTTTATAGACTGCTGGGAATGTGTGGATGTTTACAAAATGTTTACTAAGTGATTTCAGGGATTCAACTAATTAATAATATCCTCCACTAGAATAAAGTTAACTTGTCTGTAGATAGCTTTGAATGTGCTAGGTGCACCTTGTTCATAATATATTTCAGTTCATAATCAGGTGGCTCTGATTTTATTAATGTGTGTTTCAGTGTTCTTCCTATCTTTCTATGAAAGGACTTTAAATTCAATGCAGCCTGCTGTGCGAAGCTTGAATTAGTAGTGTGATTACCTCCTTGCTCCTGTTATCCATAGCAATGTCTTAGATATATGCACTATAGCATTGATGAGACAGAAAACAGGATTAAAATATAATTCCTTGTGAACTAGGAGAATGTCTTAAGTTTTAGGACGTGGGGGAAGCCTCCTCAAAGGAAAAGGGCAGTTCCCAAATGACAACTGCACTGCTGCTTTGTCTCCCTTTTGACCACTTAGCAGCTCTCAAGGGCAATTTTTATCCAAATTACATGTAAAAATTGTGCTGCAACCATGGTGCCATACTACTGTTCCCAACTGTATATATTTCGTTTCATTCAATGTTATATGTAACTGTTGGGAGTTCTAGAAAACGGCGGTTCTCATTTGATTCATGTCATCCTGTCCCACCATGCAGTCAACTGAGGGAACTAGAGGGCAAACCCGCATGTCCTTCGATGTGCTCATAACACATTTGCCAGCAAATTATGAGAGTCCTTCCACCTCCTCAAGAAGATTGCACTGGCGGAGGGAAAATTATGATGGTCTGTAGAAAATATTAGCATGAGGAAGATGATCTTGCACTGTACAGTGTTTCTGTAGAAATCCCTGGAGACACAAAGCAGAGGACAGAAACAGCTATTTTCACACTTTGTTCTCAGCAGAGCTTTAAATGTGGCTCTCATTTTCCATGTGCCCCAGCTCCTGCATGCTTAACTATTTCATTGCTACATTTAGCTGCTCTCCAGTATTATTCTTCTGCCCACGCCCAGGGAACAAATTCTTCTTGACACTTTTGAATATGTGCTTTGTTCTAGTGAATTATGCAAACTGCAGTTTACCAAAAGTGAGTAGCTTGTGAGTAGCAAGGTGGCCTCCTGTAGTTTCCATGTAGTTTCTAGTGTAATTATTAGAGTAGGCATCTAATGAAGCATGAGCAGGAGGTGCCTTTTTGGCATTGAACTACTGCAAAGCTCAGTCCTTGTAGGAGGCTCAAT